CTCCTCCTCGTCCTCCTCTTCCTCCGCAGGCCGCTCGGTCGGCTCCTCTGGGGACAGTGGGACGTCGCCTGGGGAGAAGGGGGGGAGGACAAAGGATCGAGACTGCAGCGGGTGGAGGGCACGCCGGCCATGGCCACAGCGTCCCCTCACCCTTCGCTTCTGCCCTAGCAAACGACAGCCCCTCCTCACCTGTGCGCACCTGGGCGACCCCCAGCCCCATCCTGTCCGCTGCCTCTGTCCTCAGCCTACCTCTGCTCACCCTCCTCCCCGGCCCTCCGCCCACCTGCTATCCTCCCTGGCCCCCACAGTCAGGCCACCTCCGGCCCCCGCACGCTGGCTCGCTCGCCTGCCGTCCTGCGCCGCCCACCTCTGTCCTCCGCTCACCCCACCACTCCTCCTCTGGCTCCTCCTCCGCCCCTCCCCGCTCGGAGGCCGAGGCTGTGCTGGGGGCGGCCGGGTCCCGGGGGGACTCGGGGGAGGGCAGCCCCAGGGCCAGCAGGTGGGCGGCCTTCTCGCTCCACTCCTGCGCGATGAGGGCTTTGACGGGCCCGCTGAGGCGCGTGGAGCCGGGGTGGCGCTGGCGGATGTGCCGCTTGATGGTGCTCATCTTGAGCGAGGCCAGCGCGCCGCCGCACACCATGCACACCAGGCCGCGGCGGCCGCCGTCGAACTCCATCAGGTACTCCAGCCGCCAGCGCTCCTGGTAGTGGCGGCGGTGGTCTCGGCCCCGCGGCGGCCGGCCCGGGACCCCCGCCCTCTCGCCCTGGCCCCCCTCCTCCTCCTCCTCCACTGCGGGCCGGGGGCTCTCAGGGGCCCAACCAGCCTCTTCCTTTACGTCTGGGGGGCTGAGGTCCTGAGAGGAGGGGGCTCTGGCAGCAGGGGCCGAGTCCTGGCACTTTCTGGTCAGGTCCTGGGGGACGAGGTTGTCGTCTGTTGGGGAAGGGGTGAGGGAGAGGGGCTCAGCCTGCTGTCCGGGATGCCCTTACCCATGCCAAGGGGGTCCCTGGTTCCTCACCCCAATCCCAATCTAAAGGCCCCAGCCAAAGAGAGAGAGAGAGTTGTGTGTGTGTGTGTGTGTGTGAGAGAGAGAGAGAGAGAGTAATGGGGTGATTCTTGGCCCTCAGTCATCTCAGAAAAAACCCCTTTGCAGCCTCGATGCGGAACCGCAGCTCTAGGATAGGCCTCGCACCTGGTGGGGGCTCAGGCAGCACTTCGGGCTGGCTGTCCCAGGCCTGCAGCAGGGCGCTGCGCTGGGGGCCGCTGAGCCCCAGGGAGCTGGGGTGCGCCTCCAGCACGTGGGCCCGGATGTCGTCCAGGTGCAGGCTGGGCAGTGCCCTGCCGCAGGCCATGCACACCAGCCGGTTCCCCCGTGGGTCATAGTCCATGAGAAACTCGGCTCGGAACCAGCTCTGCAGGGACTGCTTCAGCCTCCGCTCCAGGCGCCGGGCCCCCAGCCCCCTGCTGCCCCCGGCCCTCCGGGAGGTCCGACGCCGAGCCCGGGGTGCCTCTTGGCCCCC